GCATATTACATATATGCATATATATATGTATATATATATATATATAAATTGAAAATTATATGCTGCATGCAGATTTCTCGGATGCTAGCACCAGTAGGAAAAGCACTAATCCAAAAAGTCGATGGTTTGATGCACAAAAAGAATGTAATTCCACACAATTATTTTTGTTGAAAAACTTATGCGATTCAGCAGCTAAAAAGATATGGGATCCTTAAATATCGAAACAAGGTGTTAATTTTGTTGATTTCCACTTGAATGAATAAAGTTCAATATAAAAGGAAGTGATTGTTTTATTATCTGAAAATTCCCTTATCCGGACAGTTTTGTCTCCCTATTAGTATGGATACGGGAGGCTCTACTGTACTTATATACGTAAGTAGCATTTGTAATGTTCATATTAACAAGAAAAACACTTATTTTTTTATATAAATTCAAATGTGTACTTACTCAGTAACTTCGAGCTGATCAGCCACTTCTACAGAGCCGAGTCTGTAGTAGACTTCGTGCAAAAATTTGTAACCTTGACCTCCACTACCCCTGCCGTCGATTTGAGCGATGATCACATTTTTTCTGCTAGCTAAGTAAGTGTTCCAGTCTATTTTAAACATTTCTGTTACTAACTGCGTGCCCGGTGCACCGTACCTATAAGAATAGCGGGGTACTATACATAGAATTTAGCGAAATACTATAGTAAATAGTATGTCAACTTCAATTTGGTAGTATATTTTAAGGTGTCTATACAAAACTTCTCCCGTTGCCCGATTTATCTGTGCTTTTTACATATTTGCTTTTACGTTTTTACATATTAGAGACTATACTTACACTTGGACAATTAAAGGATACCGCGTTATTTCGTCTTCTCTCAAGCCGGGCGGTAAATGTAACCGTACTTGTGCGTTATAACCGCCACTTATTTGAACAGGAAATGTTTTTATTTGCGGAAGTGCAAGATTCCCTACTCTTTCCTAAACAAACAAATTTTTACTTGGATATAAATGTCATTCGGTTTATTAATTACAGAAAGTTTTGGATTCTTAACTATTATAGAAAACAGAACCAGGAAAGTGACTTACACGTAACTGTGTATTATTCTGTAATACATAAATAAGCCGTGGCATGGGTAATTCTGTTTTGTATAATGAAACTGTCGGTATACTAGGTCCATAACATTCTAAAACGAAATAGTTTGTGCTCCCCCGTGGAAAAATAGCATTATGATATTGACAAGGTTCTTCCATGAATGCTGAAAGTAGAACAAAAATAATATCGTTAGACGAGTACCATAAGTATAACATATCTATCAGGTATCCAGGTATCTTGGATTCGTAACTATAAAACGTAAACTATTATAGTATAAAAATTAGTTAACTTGAATTGCACTTTGATGCTTACTTGGTGGTACATGTGCTTTTAGTTTTTGTTTTTTTGAAACTTTCTCATTTGTCTGTTCTTTTTCCATATTGGGTGTACTCTCTGTATGTGTTTCGTAGTGATCATGTATATAATTATTATCAGACGATGTACTGTGATGACGAGATAGAACTGTTTGATAGTCATTTAAATTTCCATCTGACGCTTCTGTACAAGTAATGCAAACAGCAGGGTGCAGAGCCGAGCCTATATGCGGTAATAGTGAACTCACATAATAAAGATGTCTCTGACCTGGCCGCATGGGTGGAATACCTATAAAGTATCTATATAAAAGAATTACATTAGATTCAGGAAAAATAATCGTTGCAACATTAAATGCTTGCAAATGACGAATTAAGTAAAAAATGGAATATATGTGACTTGAAAAGGAGAAACAGTAATTGAAAGGAGGAGTAATATTTAATATAGTCTTTGCCAAGATATAGCGTGGTCGTAAAATCGGACAAAACACTGAAAAATTCAGACGAAGAAATGAAAAACCAAGGAAGACAAATTAATTTCTCGGAATGTGTCACATCTACAAAAATAAATTTCGTATATTGGTGGAAATCTAACCATATACAGTATATACGCCTGTATGTCCGCTTCAACACTAAAACAAATAATTAATATAAACGCTGTGCCCATGGCAAAGTTCAGATTTTCGGAAAAATTGCGGTGTATATATCGATCTTTCTTTGTTAATAACTTTTTAGTAAACAATAGTCGGCGACTTTAACCTTCTAAATGTTACTCGGGGGGGGGGGGGACTTTGATAACATATGTCAAGGTCAAGGTGATCGGGTGTGGAGGCTTTTCGGAAGTTTATCCCATTTTATAAAACTCTTTAAACGCACTTGACATTTTTCAAGAATTATCCTAGGCCAGAATATTACTATTAACAGAAGTAGCAGAATACAAAGTACAGGAAATAAAACTCACATTGTATTGTTTACTTGATCCCATGCTACTATTTGGGTGACCTCGAATTTTCCATGCGTAAGAGGAACAACCAATTTTCGAGCAACGTTTACCCAAACAATATGTTTATAATAACCCGCTGGGCCATCTTTAACCGGACTTATTGCAATATAACTGCTTCCGTTTACTGAGAAAACAGGTGGTTCAGTTGGAGTATCCACCCATCCACGATGTTCAGCTATTATCCTCTGAATTTCCTGCACGATATATCCATATTAGTGAACATGTAACAGATTAGGTTCACTACAAGTGTTATGTTTTATATATATTATGTACCTGGCAATGCCACATTGGGCTTTTGCAAATAGTTACAACAGAAACATTCTGAGCTCGTGTTAACCATATTATGCACACCTCCGTTAAAGACACCCAGGAAGCCGATGTAAAATAGTGTTCTCTATTAACCAATACAAACAGTAATATTTATAGCCAGAATTCGTTGTTATAATGAAATATCAGATGTGGAATATTAAATTTGTTAAGCATGGTGTGTAGAACCTTTACATTTCAAATGCCTCGTGTATCGCGATGGCTCCGACGGCGAGTGTATGTTTAACCAGACACCAAACACTATACACGCAATAACAAGAAAAGGCAAACCACGTCAAAAAATAAAGTTACAACGAGTTAAAAAATAAAGTTATACAACGAGGAAACTAAAATCTGAAACTGTGAAATTATAAACTATAATAAGCAACACAATTTTGCGTTCGCGTCGAACTGTATTGTAGTTGATTGTCGTCGAAAAACTGAAGAAACATTGAGTCTGGCCCAAGATACGAAAGTGTAATACAATGTATAATACAGATCGGAAAATACGTGTCGAGCTGACAGATATGTCGTACGGCTGATCATACACATACACAGGTTCGACCGTCTGAACAACAGTTCCAACCATCGAAGCGATGTATATACAGTAAATCCTCGATAAGTGTTCGAAGTCTCCTCGCCACTAACAAGGGGAGATCTCCAGGTGTAACGCTGACTTTCTAATGAGATTTAGCACGATGATAGAGCTTGGAATTCTGAAGCCAATAGTATTCGTTTGAGCCGCAAATGGCCATGTTTATGAAATATTCAATGTTCAATGGCGAGGAACCTTCGAACACTCATTGAGGATTCTTCTACTCTTCTTCGATGGACATGAGCTCTGAACATTTGTCGAATATTCACTGCATTGCTGTATAAACTTCTGGGTATAAGTTACGTAATATCCAGAACTAGAATAGAAGCCTGTTGATTATGGGAGTGAAGTTATGACTAAAACAATATTATATAGTGTAGAATTTTTTGTACTTTTGAAAGTTGATTGGTTATTATTGGCAGTGAATGATGATCAGGGATAAATGAGGGATAAATGATGGATGAATGAACTTTCTATGAAATTATTGAAATTCTTTTTTTAAATTGGCTGATATTATGAAACGGAAAAACCATACTATGCCTTGCAAATAAGCCGTACTTAGTTATCGAAAGAAAACATTCTGCTTTAATTGAACTACTCTACTTTATGTACGTATAAACAATTTATCTACTGACGGGCATCGAAACATTTTCGAACTAAAACGTAATTTACGAACTAAGCATTTCGCGTAAAACCGAGTACGTCAGCTAGTATGTACATATACTGGGTGTTCACGATAATTTGTACCATCGCTTTTTTCGTAAACGGTAAACATTATAAAAAAACCGAGGAGGAGATAGTTGTAGTATATTTTACTAGTAATATGATAGCGTATCTAAAGTTGTTGTATTTTTAATATTTTTCTAGAAACAAAGGTGACCTTAATTTTTTTAAATGGAATGCTACATATTTTTTTACATCATATGAAAGCGGGCATTAAGGCGAGTTCAACCATGTAATATACTATGGTCTTCAGGGTCATACAATGGCAGAAATAAATTCTCAGAAATGCATTCTTACTAATGGAAGTCTCATTGAACACGAGATGTAGTCTGATTAATACAACCTACTAGTAAATACAATATTACGAAATATTAAATTTATTTCTTTTATTTTCTACCTTGTATGACCCTGAAGACCATAGTATACTATGATACATGGTTGGACTCGCCTTAATGTCCGCTTTCATATGATGTAAAAAAGTAGCATTCCATTTAAAAAAATTAAGATCAACTTTGTTTCTAGAAAAATATTAAAAATACAAAAACTTTAGTTACGCTATCATATTAGTAGTAAAATATACTACAACTTCCTCCTCTTCGGTTTTTTCTAATGTTTACCGTTTACGAAAAAGACAATGGTATAAATTATCGTATAAACCTTAAACCATGATCAGTATTAATTTCTCAGAGCGATTGCGGTCGACGGCAAAAAGTCAACTGCCAGTAGTGCAAGATTACTCGATGTCATTAGCGTCTGATCAATAAATTCTTGTCACGTGTAGATTCTACTTTACACTAAGTATTCGGTTCTTGCATACTTGAAAATGTAATAAGAATTCTGTTTGGTTTTAATTTAAGGAATGTAAAAGTAGGATTTTCGGGCTTGATTCATTCGACCAGTGTAGTACACATAGGACACTCGCAAACGGGACAATCGAGGTGTGTGCGTGCGTGTGGATGATAGTTACAAGCGGATTTATGATAAAGAGAATTTACCCTTTGTACTTGACAATCCCATAGGGTGATTTTTGACAAGCCCTTGTGGACCTTAGCGAAACACCGTAAGTCACCATTTTGGCTACGAGGTATACAGGGTGAGTCTCGTAACATGACGATTTCAAATAACTCGTGAGTTATTTGTTGTACGAAAAAATGACTGACAATAAGTGATGTAGGTGGGTTCCTGACAGTGATTACCGCAGCAGCGTAGTATCGCATTTTAATCGGAAACTACCCAATACACATTATGCTACTCGTACGACATTTAATAAGTTAATGATGATTTCAACTAGACTGAAGTTTTACAGAAAATACTACTTCATTTATCATGCAAGTACAGGGAGAGGTAAGGTTATCGAATCATATACTCTAAAATTTATTTGTAAACTCACACATGCTCGATGATAGATGGCGGTTTCACTACCTTCGTATGAATATTCTTTGGATCTGCCAAATCTGCTACGTAGAGTCGCGCCACAGGATTCGGAGTTCCTGGCTACAAAATCAAAATAATATCTAGTTGTATTTCTTCATTTCTGATCAGTGAAGTGTATTTAAAAATTGCTCATTATTATATGTGCACGTCCATATCTTTACAAACTGTAGTACAGTAAAATCTCTTGAGTTGCTCATAACTGTAAGGTGTCATTAATCAATTTAGGAAATTCTAGAACACACAATTATCCACGGAATGTAACTTTGTTTCATTTATTAGACTGTCGAGGAGAATAAAGAATCAAGATGTCCACAGTCGTTTTTGCAAATATAAATTATTACAAGGAAACGAAGAAAATGTTAACCATACTTTGCACTGCTTGAAAAGTATATGATTGGATTAAATTCCTAGTCCCTATCGAGTATTTTTAATTACACAGTACGTTCAATGTTAGCCGTTATTATATTCTCAATTAGTCCCACACTTGTCAGTAGGTCAAAACCAAGAATGTTTAAATATTTTAAAATATTTGCATTTAATATGTACTTTCATTAAATACTACTCAATCGCAACATAACTAAACCTAGAATCTGTAACGTCTTTAACACTGCTGTTCTGTTCGTATTTACTGTACACTTGGAATATTCGGGTCAGTATCACCCGGTATATAAGTTATTAATAAAAATATGGGACATTTTCACAAAATGAATTCTACCTGCTAAACTAAGACGAGCATCAATCATGACGCAATTGTGTTAGATGCTTTGTTATCGAGTTAATAATTGTTGAAAAACGGCTGCAATATGTCTGCCGCAACGAATTATACTACTGCCAGCGCACGATGGCCAGCTGACTCACGGGCTTGGTCCATGACTGCCAATGCCATCTATTATAGAGAGACCCGCTTACCTCGTAGCCGATGCGATGACGTTAGGCGCTAGGCGAAACCACAGTAGTCTTATCGAATAGTTTCTAACGCACCTAATACGAATCGTTGTACGACAATAAACCGGTACAATCGCTTATGTCCAGAAGGGCTTATCAAAATCTATTCTACAAGATTGCTAAGTAGAGAGGGAGAATGCCCTTTTACACAAATTTCCTTGTAGCTATCACCCACACGCGCGCATACACGCAACGCGATTTTTTCGCGAATGTTTATGTGTATTACAGGAACTGCAATTCAAACATGCAATTGTACAGAGTATTAATAGAAATATAGGACACTTTCAAAGAATGGATTCTACATGCAAAGCTAACAAGGGAAGGCATGGAAGTGTCCCCCTCCGATTTTCATGAAACTTCGTATGTCTGTTACGCAGTCAAAAATAAGGGATACGTATTTTTTTTATCGGTTGAGACTCGACTTTAACGGGGGAAACCACCCCTCGAAGTTTCGAAAGTACTATCTCGAAAACCAGAAGAGATACATGAAAACTTCTAATGGACAAAGTTTGCGGTTTTTAATGTAGAATAATATGGTGCTAACAAATTGTCCAGAATATAATTTGTTTATAACAACAAAATTTCGGATCGAAACTTCGAGGGGTGGTTTCACCCCTTAAAGTCGCGTCTCAGCCGATAAAAAAAATACGTATCCCTTATTTTTGACTGCTTAACAGACATACGAAGTTTTATAAAAATCGGAGGGGGACACTTCCGTGCCTTCCCTTGTAAGAGAAAAATCAAGAATTGTAAACACTCGTAAAATATGTACGACGTGATGGATTATACTACTTGCAACAGAAAAGCTAGCTAAATTTAGAATGAAATAAAATCAAACGAATGACACCACAACGTGACACAATTCAAGAGTGCGCTTCTCAAGTAGAATAACCCGTCGTGTTATACAGATTTTATAGGTACACTTAGGAGCAAACTCGGCTTCCACTAGAGGAAAAAGTGACGTAGGGAAGAACCTCCTGCTATTTGATATTGAGAATTATTGAAATATATGTCAAATGAACATTCGATTATCATTTATTTTAGTACTTGAAATCAATTTACCAAGTGGTAGGAGGCCCTTCTCTTACGTCAGTTTTTCCTCTAGTGGAAGCTGAGTTTGCTCGTGGGTGTACATATTACAACCGTATTTTCAACAATTAATAACTCCAAAAAGAAGTCTCGAACACAATTTCGTCATTATCAATTTTCTTCTTAGTTTCGCAAGTATAATCCACCCTGTGAAACTGTCCCACATTTCTATTAACACCCTGCAGAAGTACGGAAACACAACTAATAAGCTACGAAGACAAACAGAAGCACACTAAAACAGAAACACGGAATCACGCAGAAAATCTTTACGAGTATCCACAAACAATACTCAAGTATAAGACACGAGCAGACTCACAGCATATGTTCAAAATGTCCAGCATGTATGCATAACCGCAATCTTCTTTTAAATGACTTTCGGATCCTGTGTAATCCTTGTCTTCTGTTTGTATTCATCTCGTTGCATGCGTTCTTGATTCTTCTTAGCAGTTCTCCTACACCAGAAACGGATTTTGTATACTTCTTGCACCTCATGTAACCCCATGCAGAAAACTCCAATGAATGTTTGTAGATCGAGCTGGCCATTCGATTGGTCTTCCCTAGACGACCCATCCATTTCTGTATTCTTTATCCAAGTAGATTCTTGCAGCTGCATTTAAATGCGCTGGTCCTTCACCCTGCCTGAACTACACGTATAGTCACAGGCCAGAGATGGGCAAACTCATTATCTAGATAAAAATTTTCGAATAACGAATAAAAGATAAAAAAAAAGTATTTCAATTTTGATAACAAAATAATACTTTTTTTTATAAATGGATCGACATTTGTCGAACAATAATTATTTAATCTCATTGACTGTTTAAAGCTCAAAACGACACCCTTTTTCACTGTGTATTATTCGGATATAATTATGCCCAACTCTGTCACAGGCACATCCAATGTGTCATTCTATAATATATTCTGTGGCCTATATTGTCAAAAAAAAAACTGTGTACACCAGTCCTGAAATGTGCGGTGGTAAAACATCTCGTCCTCTGTATTTATTGCTTACCACTCCCAACTATACAATTGCACGAAACTGTTGCTGATAGTTACTTTGTATTATTACCTAAGGGTTTTCTTCGGCCCATATATGCTTATTTTGGAAGTTAATAATCCCATTACTATATGAAGTTCGTTTCATCTGTGAATAAAATATTCTTCACCAAAACACTGTCCCCTTCACATTTTCACATTAAGACCGGCCTGTGGAAGTTGTTAAACTCATCGCCAATGGTAACGAAACGGTGCGTTTGCTTTTAGTATTTGCCACAGGAACATTTGATTCATACTTGGAAGTTCCGCTACTCCTCTCGTACTTAGGGAAGCATTATCTCTAATAGTATTTTTACATAACAACCTTTACATTACATAGTTACTTAGGGAAGCATTATCTCTAATAGTATTTTTGCATAACAACCTTTACATTACATAGTTACTTAGGGAAGCATTATCTCTAATAGTATTTTTGCATAACAACCTTTACATTACATAGTTACTAAACTAGAATAAACAAGGGTAAACAATTAATAAGTAATACAAATTTAGATCGGCCATGCTAGTGCGATCACACACGACCCAACATTTTGGAGACGTCCACGGTCGCCCCCACTTCCGGAAAACAGTCGCTTCTATTTAATCGGTAATCTCAACGCTAGTAGAAATCGACATTCTTGATTCCATTGCAATACAAGTAGCTTATGATGTACTACCCGGTGACCACAAAGTGCTTTCTTCATTCTTCATTTCTTGGTGTTGTTATGCCTCCTGAATCCTAGACCCGTTTGTTGATAGAGCCGTGTTTTCATAAGCATTCAAGTGTGCGTTGAAACGTCTTCACATTGGAACTTCGAAGATATGGAAAACACTCCACGTAAATTCTTCTAGCTTCATGTCCGCTCTCGTATTCTCTTCTATAGGCAATTAGCATATCCGTTTTTTCAAAAAAAGTCAAATCTACCTATCTTCTTGTACATTCAAATGCAAAAGTTTAACCTATTCAGGAATTAAAAAAGTGACAGTTTGCAAATCAACGCGTCGTATTTGCTGAATTAGTGCGAAGACGCAGCGTTTGTTCGCCAGTTTTTGTTTCTTCCAATCCTGAGTAGATCGAGCTTGGAGGTGAAATCGTGCCACAATCATCACGTATCGCGTAACTTCCCACCCAAATATTGACACCTGTCACCGAGGATATGGATCTATACGATCGTGTTTCTATATAGCAAATACTAAAAGCAAATGAGTTCTATCCTCTCCATCTTCGACATCTACAGTTCATTGCCTTAAGAAGAAAATGCGACGGGAACAGTGTTTTGGTAGGGAATATTTGTTTCACGGATAAAACAAATTTCCCGTCAAATGGAATTATTAACTTCCGCAATAAGCATACATAGGGCGAATTATAACTCTACATAATAGTACACAGTAACTATCAACAACAATTTCCTGTGACTGGGAGTGGTAAAGAATAAATTAGTAGGATCGAATACTTCCAGATTGATTTACACAATCTTTTAACAACATAAACTACATGACATGTTAACCCTCCGAGCACGGAAACATGGTCACCGGTCCCTATGTCATTTCTGACCCCACACCGATATTCTACTACTGCACAGCGACCGCGATGTTCGAGCTCGAGGCCCTCACCGACACTGTACTAATACAGTGCCAGTATGGCTCGAGCTCGAGACCCTCACCGATATTACTACGCAGTGGCGGTTGCTCGAGCTCAAGCTCGAGCCACCGTCACCATGTATACAATGTAATGATTAGCTGGTACCACATTACATTTGGATTTTCGTGGTTTTTGGATTTTATGCTAACTAGAATAAAAATCTCGTGAATTATAAAACAAATTATATTTATTAGTCAATACTTCTGCGGCGTTTTGGCTCGGTCGTTCGCATGTAAACAAACATCGGTCGCTATGCGATTTACACGACAGCTCCGTCACTGCGTACGTGTCGCTTTCGAGACCGCGTGCCCCCACTCCTGACTCTGTCACTGTGTGCATGTCGCTCTCGCGAACGCGTGACCCAGGGACCGTGCTCGGAGGGTTAAAAGAAGAGACATCGGACGTGCCTGCCAAGATATTATGTGTAGTTCATACAGAATAGAGAACCAGCTAATTTTATTGTGAGTGCAAGAACCTATTTGTACATGT